TACAAGCAAAGAAAAGTTATAAACAATTCTTTATACTGTCTTTTCTATTCCTTCCCCCCTCCCTTCCCTTCATTCCCCTTTGTCTAATCTAATAAACTTCTAATCTTCCCCTATCTACTCTCTCTTATTGTGGGTTAGCATCCACATATCAAGAGAGAACATTCGGTCTCTCTGGTCCTTTGAGACTGGCCTATTTCACTTAGCATGATATTTTTCAGTTCCATCCATTTGCCAGGAAATGCCATATTTCATTCTTTATGGCTTCTTCAATAAGACTTCTAAAGCACAAGAAGTAAAATCAAGAATCAAGGAATGGGATGGCATGAAACTAAAAATCTTCTTCATGATAAAGGAAGCAATCAAAAACATGAAGAGAGAGCCTACAGCATGGGAAAAAATCTTTGCCATCTGCACCTCAGAACATTAATCTCCAGGATATACAAAGAACTCAAAAAACTTAACACCAAAACCTAAATATCCCAATCAATAGATGGGCAAAGGAACTGAACAGACAGTTCACAGAAGAAGAAATACAATTGATCAACAAATATACGAAAAAAAAAAATGCTCAACATCTCTAGCAATTAGAGAAATACAAATTAAAATTACACTGAGATTACATCTCACTCTAGTCAGAACAGCAATTATCAAGAATACAATTAACAATAAATATTGGCAAGGATGTGGGGGGAAAGGTACACTCATACATTGTTGGTGGGACTGCAATGCAAACTGGTGCAACCCCTCTGGAAAGCATTATAGAGATTCCTGAGAAAACTTGAATGGAACCACTATTTCACTCAGTTATCCCATTCTTCAGTCTATATCCAAAGGGCTTAAAATCAGCATACTACAGTGATGCAGCCATATAAAGGCTTATAGCAGCTCAATCCACATAGCCAAGTTATGGAACCAATCCAAGTACCCTTCAACAGAAGAAGGGATAAAGAAAATGAGGCATATATATGTCAATATTGCTTTTTCTCTTCTCACTGCCAGAAAATCATTTGTGCCACATTCAGAGTGTCTGCTTTTGACTCTGTATCCCACTGGAAAATGTTACTCATTCCCCGCAACTGCAAGTGGTACAAGCATGTTCAAAACACCTAAGGAATCACCAACTTAGCAGCTCTGCTAAAAAATTGGGGAGGAAAAGATGTTGACACAATTTGCAAAAATGAGGTTGGAAGATTTTCTGAGCATTTCAATTTTATTGTGCATCTCATGACCCCTCTTAGTATAAGAGGTGAGAAACTAGAAGACACTTTTTGTTTCTGGTCCGTGGGATGCTATGGAATCATCTCTGTTCTACATTTAGATGTACCCTGGAAGGTTTTCCCTCTATTTGCATAGCACCCACCCCATAGTCACAATGAAAAAAAAATTGCCCTTTGAATATCCCTCTTTTGAGAAGACACAAAGCAGAAAGTTCACAATTGGAAGACAGGAACAGCTCTAGAGGGGTAAATTCTGTTCAATGTTTTCTTAAACATTTTGACTTTTTTGGTTGTTTGTTTTTGTGCTTCCCAGATCACATTTTCCCTCATTTTTTTCTTGGTGCTAAATTTAAACCACAAACACAATTCACTGACATTATTATCTGAGCATGTCAGTCTCCTCTCTCTCCTCTGAGACAGATACTCACTCAGGTGGCTGTTTAAACATGTATCTTGGTGACCAATCAGTGATTTATCCTTCACAACAGCCCTCAGCTTTGTGAGAAGAGCCCCAGATCTAACAGTGAAGCCAGCACTTAAACATAGTTGACTCTCCACTCCACAGAGGAAAATAGGCTTTTTCATTATGAAGCCCTCCCCACAAGCCCTCCACTCCCTTTCCTCTCCTATCCTCTCTCTTTCTCTCTTTTCTTCTATTTCTGCATCAAACCAAAATAACTTGAAAGCTGTATATAAATAAATAAGCTGTATATAAATTTGGCTTCTTAAAAATACATATTTTACTAACAAAAGAAGAAAACTTGTCATTGCTGAAAAGCAACTTTCGTATCTATTTTTGGCATTACTTATTGTCAAATTTTGTATTTCTTAGGAGCCAACACTCACCAAATATATATGTTTTATGTTATCACTTTACCAAGTCAGACCCTTTGAATTTCATGTCTGATAGACTTGGCTTTTCTTTAGCCTGAACATTACGAGGGAGGGAAAGCACTAACAAAGAAAAATATTCCAGTTTAAAGTTAAGTGCACCAACAATATCATGCATAAATACGCTTTTGATATTCAAAGAAAAATGACACTATTCTAGGTACATTCGATTTTACAAAATATAACATATCGTTCTTAAGCAAAAAAAAAATCTTAAATGGGAGAAATCCAATGAAGAAATGTTGGTTAATGTCCAGTTCTTTCAGTTGCTTCAACAGTGGAATCACATCCAAAGCCTTGCAAAGGTCAAGATTAGCTTAAGTTACTTTCATGTTTTAAAGGATCTTGTATATTAAAAAGGAAATGAACAAATACAAAAAGACGGTTGTAAACTCAGAGGGCATTTTAAGTATTCACATGAAATTCTTTAGTGCATCTAATTCCAGAAATGTTATGCAATAAAACTGCTATTCAGAAGATGATTATCACATTTAAATGTATGTGCATGTGCATGCTTGTGTGTGTGGGTGTGTGTACATCTACATTTATACATGGACTCATATTGCATTTAGGTGTTATGGTATGATAAAAATGTATAGGTAAATGATAAACATATTTTTTCATTATTTCCAGCATATTGCTATGGTTGAATGCATAATATCTTTTGGAAGGTGAGACCCCTCTGGAAAGGTGAGACCAGGAAGCTCAAAGATTTCCTATCTCCCTAACCTATCATTCAGGTGTTGACCTGGGATAGGCATCACCATATTAACAAGTTGGCCATGCCAATAGACATAATACAGTCATTCCAGATAAGAGAGTTTAGCAGAATGCTCCATCAAAGTAGGCATTAATGACATTCCTGTTGTATGTAAGGGAGTTTCTGACCCCAAAGTGTTGGCAGTCCAACTGGGAAGATAACATTAGATTCAGAACAATAAAAACAGTATGTGTAAATAATCAAAATAAATATTTTGCAGGCAATTAAGATTTGAGTGAAGAGGAAATAAGTAAGGAATGAAGTCTCCCAAGTTTGGTCCAACAATGGCTACTTGAGACATCATCCTTACCACTTAATCTTGTTGCAAACGAAGCTTGTCATTAAATATATGAAAAACTAACTCATCCTTAGCTGCACCAGTGCATGTATTTTGGGAAGGGCTAGAGCTTGAACAAAGGAAAAGAAAACTTTTTCACCAAAACAAAAAGGCAAGATTCTTAATATATTTGTGAATCACACAGAACTTAAAATCTGTACTGCTTGGTATTTTTCAGATTCATTAGTCCATCAAGGTATTGATTTTACTCTATGTATCAATTATTTAATTATGATTCTAAGAAACTGGCTATTAGATCTCAGTGATGAGGAGAGCTTAGAAGCCACAATCCATTGGAAATATACACAGTAATACTAATAAATCTTTGATGATAAGTTCTCAGCATATAGCTTAGTTCAAAAGAGTGAAATGCAATTAATAAACATGAAAATCATATACAGTAGAGTGCAAAACATACAGTAGGCAAATAATTTCTAATATTCATCCAAATTTCATAGTTATAACAAATTAATATAATAAAATGACACTTATTTTGCTCTAAAATGGAAATAAATGGAAGTACTATTTATACATTTAGCTGGCAATTCATGTTTACTATCTGTTGTCAAAGTTTGTGTATTGTTACTAGTGAATTTTATAATTTAATTTCTCTGACTTTCAGTTCTCTAAAAAAATTACAATGGCACTATCTTCCTTAATGTTTAAAGTAAATAAATCTTATGACTTCTTTTTCTTCTCCTTCTCCTTCTTTTTTTCCAGAGCTGGGAATTGAACCTCATGCATGCTAGGCAAGTATTATATCACTGAGCCACATCCCCAGCCCTTATGATTTATGTTAATCCAAATTTTTAATTTTTTGTGCAGACAAATCAGAACACATTTTAATTCAAATCTAGTGTATACCTCTACATAGGACTGGCAGCTTTTAATATTACTATATTTGGTCTAAATAAAAAAGATCTATTCCACTGTCATATATATCTAAACAGAACAAATTTGTAAAAAGATCTAATCTTGAGAGTATGCAAAGAATTTCACTTCTATTTACTGTTACTGAAATAGCTACCAGTAATATTGACTTATCAATTAGAAACACAAAATCATGAAGAGGCAATATTTTCCTTATAAATATCTAGAACACCCAAGCAAAAGAAGAAGTCAAAGGTTTTTTTTTTTTTCTTTCTTACTATTTATTTGGTTAAAATAAGCTAAACTTTGATATAGAACAAAGCCATTGACAATTTATTGAAGACACAGGGTTGAGACTTTTCACATAATTTCCAGAGAAATCTTTGGAAACAAAACATTAGCAAAGTATTTATTTAGAACTTGTGATATCTAATTCTGTTGAACAAGATTAAAACTCTGAATTACCACTTAGAGGTAGGTTCACCTTTTCCACGTGAACACGCTCTGGAACACCCAAACAACAGTATAGTAATTGTTTTTGCCATTGTTTGCTCATTCAATGAAAGAAGAACCCTTTCCCAAATATTGATAGAGTTAAAGTTAGTATGACCACTTTGATGACATCAATGTACTAGGCAAGTTAGTACATTTGTTCTTCCAGATCACAATAATGTAATATGAATGCTAGTTTCTAAGTTTACCATTTAACTCTCAGAATAAGCTTTTAGATCTGGTCAACTTCCTTTTACTTCAGCAGGTTTGTACATAGCCCTGACTATTTGAAGGTTCAATATACCTTAGATCTTATTTCATATAGTGGCAATTTAACCAACCTATGAACTAAATCATAAGGCAAAGGTTTATTTGCAAGGGGCCTAAGGCAGATGAAAAATCCTTCCTAGCTACAGAAAGGAAAGCACGATACCTGTAGGACTTTGAGAAATGAAATCTTGATTTAGCTCTTGGAGATGGTCCTGGTACTGTGGCTCCCAGAGGATCCCAAACAAACGCCATTTGGAAAGAGGGTGCCAAGATCCACAGCAACAGCAGGAAGTCAGAGCTGGTGCAGGGCCCTGGGGCTGGAGGGCCCCGAAGGGAGCAGGAGGCACTTGTGGCTGAGTGAGGGCATTTCTTCTTGTGTGGTGGTATGCGTTGACAGAGAGGTAGCAGGCTGGCTGAGGCAGGGCTAGAAGGGACGCCAGGACTTCCTGCTGCATGACACTTGCCCTTTGCGACAGAGCTTGCTTCACTTGGACTCTATCTCAATATTAATGTGAGAAACAATCCCATGAAAAAATTTTTTTAAATATTGTCCTGATTAAACAACATAGTTACATGCCACTCCTGAAAAGCACAACACACACACACACACACACACACCATACACACACACATACACACACATGAACACTCATGAGAGGAGGTATGACTGAAGTCTTTGAAGTTTCACACTAAGTGTGAATATTTAAAAACTGTAAACACAGGGTTCTGTTGAAAAAATAAATAAATATAGGACTAAGACTGGGAAATTGAACAAAGATTTCTAAATTTCACACATTCAGCTGCCAAGTATTATTTTCCTTATCACAACTTGTCTTAGAAACATGGATGAACATAATTATTGGCAAACTTTCTGCAAAGGTTTTAATTGTTTTGAAAATACCAGTGTCTCCCTGCAAGTCAGTGTGAGAAGAAAACAGATCACTTTCAAAGTGTTTGGCAGCTTCTCCCTCCAGGAGATGCTGTGTCACCTTGGAGGGTGAATTGTAATGCAATGACTTTGACAACAAAAATCAATTTTCTTGTCCATTTTCTATTCCCTAGAAACATTTCTTAACTCTCTGATAAATCCCTTAAAACAACCTTTCTTCAAATTAAATAAATGATGAAAGCCAAAGAGAGTCCTTTGCATGTTTTATGAGTCTAGCCACATCTCAGAGAGGCATGTATTTCAAGATATCGTACTCGAGGAGTCAAAGGACCCCAATGTCGTCATCAGCCCCCACCAGCAAGTGGCATTTAATGTTAACAGCGCAGCATAATTCCATCAGTCCCTGTCCAAACACTGCCCCGCCAGTGACCTCCACTGTAAACCAAGGCAGAGCTCCTTTTCCAGGATAAGATTAGAGAGGCATGGAGTGCCCAAGAGTGAATTTAACCCACTCTGCACTGGAAAAAACTGTCCAAGACATGAGCTCAATGAACACTGCTATACATGCTAAATTTTGAGACACCTAAAACTCAATCTATCTCTTATAGACCAAAGGGGATCGGAACGTTCAATAAAAGATGAAGACCTTAAACATCATGCTTAATTTCACAACAGCATCCAGCACTTCAGGGGTTTTTGAGAATGCTATGGGCTCTGTATCAGCTTTGGGGATGAGTAATAGAAAACATTTTTACAGTTTCACCTCTTTGTTATCTGACGTATGGGCTCCCAGAGAGTGGGTGAGTGAGAACTGCCCTGAACAGCAACAGCCTTGGAGGAGCTGAGAGTTCAAAAATAAACACATTCTCTCAGACTCAACTTGCAATATTTTTTATGCTTCACAAACTGCCTTTTGGCTTTTGTGTAGGATTGGTGCCTATACTTAAGCAATCTGCCCCTCTCATGTATGAAATTCTCCTCTCAGCAGTTCACTCCTGTAGAACTACTGAATTTCCACTTTGGGTCAGCTCTTACAGGATGCAAACATTCCTAGTAGAATTAACACATTTGTGTTTAGTTAACAACTCCTGTTTAGGGAATGGCTTTATCTTAGACTAAAGGCAGACAGTGTAAGAGAACTGGTCAAGTGGGTAAAAAGGGGAGGAGCCCTGAGGGCTGCGGGGAGGGGTAGACTGGTATGGAGGGAAGGGGAGAACAGAGCCCCAGGGGAGCAGTGGGGTGGTATTGGCATCTCAGGAAAATAGCCAGATTTTGTTCTATCCAGTGACGTTTTAAATTTTATAAGTGAAACAGCATCACTGGTATCTGACAGTAAAAGCTACAGTCCTTATAGACAACTTTCAAGTCCGAAAAATACTATTTTTATTGTTAAACCAGTTTCCCATCCAGGCTAACCCAAGCAATGAATATTTTCACTCATGATTGTCTATATCTCCTTATCAATTTATATTCTAAAAGAATGCCCTGTTAATTAACATCTAATTAAAAATATATAAGGGCATAATAATAATCCAGGATGATGCTACTAAAGAATGCACATTTTTGAAAATTGTACAAGAAAGGAGAAGCAAATTTATATTTTTTCATTATTGCCAAAAATAGTTCTTGAACAGTTAAGCAAGATGAAAAAAAAAAATGAAAATGTGTGAGCTTATCAATAGAAAAATGGAAACTTTAGCCCTTTATCCTAATATGAATGGAATAGACATTAAAAATGTCTGTCCATGTTAATGTTATTTTTCCTTAAAAATCACACACTGCCTCCTCATTTCTTCTGTACAGTTATACATAACCTCTCTTAGTTTACAGGCATTGATGAGGTTATTGTAATAAGCAAATTATTTCTGAGATTCATCATGAACAAAGTTAAGATTTGATTTCAAATGTAAATGTCAATACTGTTTCAAAGGACTAGGAAGAAACTTTCAGAGATATAAGCATTTATATAATCAGAAAAATACCTTTTAAAAAAATTAAGTAAAATGTTTTCTAGGATGAACCTTTGCTGTCATTTATATCTCAACCAGCTATTTATAGCTATTACTCCACAGTTATAAGGGTAGAAAAAGGGTTAAATAGAAATATCTTCAATATTTTAATTTCTGTCACTTTATTAAGAGCTTATTGTTCCAAAATAATTTTAGTAAAAACATGACTAAATGGCAAGGGGTAAGACTTTATCTCTGAGAAAAAGTCTTTTTTACAAGTTGAAAATTAAACCTACTTCCCAGAGAAACAAGAGATCTGAACACTGCAGCATCCAGCCATTATGCCACATCATTCCTCACCTTCTAAAACCTCAACAAAATGCCACCTCCTGCCAATAACAAATCTTATGTTCTGCTGAGCTCTAAATAAGGCATCTTTTTTGCATCTTGACTGTTTCTGTGATTTGTTATCCAAGATTCTAGATGTTACAAATGATAGATTGAGGTTTTAGTGTCTAATACAAAACTCAGAATTTCCTTTATAGGAGATAGCTACTATAAATTCAACTGAAGCTCCCAAATTTTAAAGTGAGAGAATTTAAACAGAATTCACATAGGCATTCATTTATTTACATAGTGGCCACTAACTGACAGGCACAGGGATGGATGAGTGTGTAGGGGGTAAGCTAATCTTCAGAGAAAAAAAAAGTTACATTAGTGGGGTTTCGTTATGTTGAAATACATTGCCTCAGGAAACCAGAGAAGGCAGATAGATGGGTTTCAGGATAATGCAGTATTTTGAAATAGTTGCTGGTCACAAACTCAAAGTCAGTAAATGTTAACATGGAAGAAAATGATAGACTACTATTTATTAGCTTCATCTGATGAGAGTATCATTCTAATAATTGTATTTTCAGAGTGATCCATTGCAAAAGAGTTTGATGAAAGAGAGATTGACAGCTGAATTTGTGCACTTCTCAAAACTAACATTCTTTGAGTACGAGTCATGGTGTTTTTTTTAAAGTCCTTTTTATTACACTGACATTAAATTATAATTCAGCTATAGTTTATATAATCAGTTATTTATTTCTACAAATGGATGTCCTACAAAATAATTCTAGAATTTTCTTTGCATTGTTTTCAGATATATGTTCTAAACCTTATGTGAGTCTACTTGACTGAGCGGTCAATTATCCCATGTTCTGAAATGAGGGACACTTATTTTATGTCCTGGAATGCAGTGGAGTATTTAAAAATTAGAAGGTACCCTGCAGTCTTGAGGCCATTAAGAAGCATGCACACGGCTTTAAGTAACTGTAAACATATTTTGCTTACTCTTATATGTCCCAAGACACAAACAGAAATAAATTTAATTCAAAAGCTAAAGTCATTAAGAAATAAAATGAAAAACCAACAAAAGACAAGCTTAAACATACAAGAAAAGATCAACAAATTTGTGGAGTGTGAGACAAATGTTTTTATCTACCTAATTGTATAGAAAACAGGTGTACAAACAAAAAATTTACTACACACTAAAAATTAAATAGGTTAAACCCTTTCTATTCAATAAAGCAATGGGGCTCCTAAATACTTGGATAAATGAGGTTGAAGGAAAGAAATGGGAGGGAAGGAAATAATTTTGATGTTTATTAAGTATATATAAAGTAATTAACAAAGTCTTGGGAATTTTTCTGACTATTCAGTGGGAAATATCTCTAGAATAAAATGCTTTAAATGTCTTGAAATTAATCTGAGCTAATCACTTGAGATAACTTGATTTTAAAAAAAAATGTATGTGAAAGGTCTTTGGGGATCAGTAGTTTTCTGATTGTGTAATTCCCTATATGTGAATATTTTCAGAGTCAGAAAAATTCTTTCTTTCCAAGATTGTATTCATGAATATGGTATGATAACAAAACAAAACAAAATCCTCCATAGTTATTGGAAGGTGCGTGAAAGGGTGACTATGGGATTTCATCTTGAGAGCCTCCTCCACCTTGAAGCCTTCCTGGCTGCTCCAGACCATGTGCTTTCTCCACAGCACTCTGAACTTCCTTTTGCACATGTCACCATTGAAAAATAAAAACTACAATCATGTTTGTTTAATAAATGAATATATCAATATTATCAGGGATTCTTTCAAATAAGATGCATCACCAGGATTATATTTTTTTATGTACCTCAATAGGGACAAAAGATTTCACAACAGATAACTCAGGTCCAATTATTTAATTTCTTTTTCCTTAGATGCTCCTTCAGAAAAAGCCAAGACTGTTGCAATAAATAAAGAAAATAGCAAAACCAGAAAAACCACAGTTATCAATTTGACCAAATGAATTAGTGTGCTGAATCCAAATAATTTTTATTTTAAAATACAGCATCATTGGTCAAACATTCAGGACAGCACTGATAGAGGGGATCAGAGATTAGGGCCACAGTTATGCCATGAACATGCCATATGACCTTGAGCACCGGTGGTTGACCTTGCTGAGTTTCAGTCTTACCACTTGAGAACCACCGCAAAGAGTTTTTTGAGAGAAATGAACACAGCAATTTATATAAAATCATTCTGAAAACACATAAAATTAGAGTACTACTACCAACAACATTTATAACCTTTTTGTGGAGGTATGGAGAATATTTTCATAATTAGAATTATTTTCAGTTTTCAAAATTGTCCTCTAAAATTGGTTACATCATGAGCACAGTAAGTAGGGGCACCATTTTATGAGTTTTAAAAAACTTAGTCTTCAGTTTTTATGGGTAACTGTTTTTTCTCTATTTGAAATCATTTTATCATAGTGTGTAAGAGTAGAATATCAGCTATTAGATTTTAAAGGTTTATCCTATAACAAAGTTTTAATATTTTATTTGCAGCATTAAAACATTAAAATCCTCTATGGATTTCATTTACAAGAACTAAAAAACAAAAAAATTAAGTGGAAAGCCAGGCATGGTAGCGCATGACTAATCCCAGCAGTTTGGGAGGCTGAGACAGGAAGAACTACAAGTTCAAATCCAGACTCAGCAAGTTAGTGAGGTCCTAGCAATATAGTGAAGTCTCACTATAATAAAAAGTCTCAAAATAAAAAATAAAAAAACAAAGGCTGGAGATGTGGCTCAGTGATTAAGAGCCCCTGGATTCAATCCCTGGTATGGAAAAAAAAAAAAAAAAAAGCAAAGAATTCTACTAAAATTAGCTGAAGGAAATTTTCGCAATTGTTCAAAATCCTGGCATCTCTTAAATATAAGAACACTTTTTTAAAAAATTTGAAAACTTATGGGATCCTGAAGATAGACTGTTTTAATTGGAAAAGCATTTGCAACACTGGATCCAACTCATGCTCCTCTCCTTAATTGACCACACACCAAATAAGGACAGAAATGGCTTCTTCCAGCTTTTTAGAACTATGTTAACAAACAAGAAAAAGCAGTGATGGAATTACCAGGCTACAAGGGGAAGAAAAAAAAAAACAAAATAAAAACAAAACATCACTCCCTCAGGAGAAAGAAAAAAGACCCTAAATACCAAGAATCCCTAAATAACAACACTCTCATGTGTTCGGTTTTGGTGCCATGAACATTTTTCCATGACAGGGTTCAATACCTCCCTAAATCTGGTTGTCTGTTAGGGATATGGAGAATATTTTCATAATTAGAATTATTTTCGGTTTTCAAAGTTGCCACCTGGGAGCACTGGTGCTGGCCTGTCACCCTCAGATCCCCTTCTCACACTGATACTTCCTGGCCTCTGACTGAGTCTGAGCAAACCTGACCTGAAGGTCGAGGTAACTTCTGATTTCTCATTTTACTATGATGGTATCACCTACTTATTTGGTGTTTATTCTGGATGAGGGCATAAAATACATGTATGACTCTCCTGAAATTTATCTATGAGCTTCATTTTATTTTCATTCTGTTTTACCACTGAAGAGATAGAGCCTTGCAAAGTAAGGAGTAACTTGCCTCTGTGAGCAAACTTATAAATGGGTGCCAGATCTGAGGTTAAAACTGAAGTTCTCTGATTATAAAACCTATTATCTCAACTAATATGGTCCTAGAATATAAGTCAGTGAAGAAATGAATGAGGTCAGGGCCTTTTTCATGGAGAGTTAGATCATAAAGGAGGTTTTGGATAATCACAGAAAAAGGGACCAGCACCAGGTATGAGATCTATATAATCTGCTTTAATCCACCAACTCTCAGATGGACATTATTATCACCACATTATAGATGAGAAATCTGAGTTCAGAAAGGCTAAGCAACTTGGCTGTTACCTCAAAACTAATATATGGTGGAGCTGTGAGTCCAAATTAGTCCTGCCAGTTTCTAAATTGTGTCTCTTTTGGAATTAACTTATCCAAGCTCTTTAAATTCTGAATTCTGGGGACAAGATTGGTCTGTGAGCCTGGGCAGTACTGAGTGGGCTCCAGAATGATAGTGGAAAGTTACAGAGACAGAAAAATAAAGGGACCTGGTGACAGGAAAGGCTTGAAGAAGAGTGATGTCAGCCTTGTTAAGGACCACACTGCCCTGTGTTTTCCCTCTGAATATTCTACACATAGGAGAAATATAAGCACCATTCAGTCCATCCAACCAAGAGTGGCAATTTACTAGATAGGATAAAATAGAAATCTGTGTCTTTGAGTTACAGTAAAAGAAAATCATCTATTTTTGTTATTTGTTCTTGTTTTGTAATAGGTTGTGTAAAACTTAGGGTTCCATTTTCTAGCTCCTGAAACTACCTAAGAAATTTGTAATAGAAATTTACATAATTAGGCCATTAATAAGGCAACAGGGCAGGTTTTGGTTTCTGCTTCTAATGCCATCACTAAATTTATTTCTATTGGCTCAATAGAAATAAACTGAGTGACTTTTCCAAATTTGATGTGTGGTAAGTAGTAGACCTTGATTAAAACTGGAGCTCACCTCTAATTTATAGGGAATAAGTCATTTCTGTATTGGAGCCTCCTTCTGGTACACTTACTGTCTTAAAAATGTAGAAGTAAATTTGAGAAGGCATAATTGCTATTTTATTGGTCAGAAAATATAAAGTAGAACCATTTATAGCAAAATTCTTATTTAAATTGGACCTACTTTCATTTGATGTACATTATTAATGATTAAAGGATTGAACTTCTACTTGAAAATAAAGCAAATTGTCATCAAAGAAACAAAACCATAACTCTGGGATTTTAAGCAGTAGATCATAAGGAAATGTTTGGGATAGCAAGTATTTTTCCTAGCTATTCTACTAATGGCTTTAACTAAGTCATGAAATCCTTTGAGATGAACAGAGTTAGAAGATACAGCCTCATAAGCTAGTATCTATAGGAAGTGCAGCCAATCCACCTCCATCCCTCCTCTTTCCTTCCTTACTCCTTCCCTCACCTCCATCTCATTCCTTCTTCATTTTCCCTTCTGCCCTCCCTTCCATTCACAGATACACATAAGTATTGACAATGTGCCATGTGCCAAGCCAGTTGCAAGCTGGTGATCATTTACGAATTATACCAAGAGAACCTAGAAAGCTGAGGGCACCAGAAACAAAAACTTTAGGCATTTAAGAAATTGAATTGGGTTCACAATATTAAAAAATATCAAGGTAGTAAGGAAGAGAAGAGCTATAAAAGATATAAAGATGGAGGGTAACTTGAATTCTTATTTGTAAAAAAAAATTAAGAAATTGATTTTTCAGATCACAAACATTAAAGCAACTGAGATCTTCTTGGTGAAACTCACTTAGGGGTACCTACTCAGGGGAAATAGTTGTCTTCCAACAGTCAAATCTTCTGATTAACTAGGAATGTATTGGGAGAGATGCATTGATGAAGAAGTTCTTAATCAAGACTAGTGTGGTTCCAATTCAATGCTTAATGACTGAGGGCACAAAGGGCCCTGGTATCTCCTGACAGACACATGCAATAGGGAAAGAATCTCACCTCAGAAAAACATTTCTGAAACCTGTGATGGTAAGGTTTTCTGTTGTTGTTGTTGCTTCTGTTTTTCCTCATTAAAGCATATCAATAATGTTAATAAGATTAAAACTGATCTATTGTGAACATTTTCAAAAATACTGGAAAGTTGAAAGAATTTTATAGTGAATACTGGTGTACCTAACACCATAACATTAAATAAGAGTTATATAAGTAATATTAATGTATTCTGGCTTATTTTGAAACTAGATTATAAGTTTCTGTGTATTTTCTGGAGTCTATTATTTTTTAGTTGTAAGTGGACACAATATCTTTTTATATATTTATTTTTATGTGGTGCTGAGGATCAAATCCAGGGCCTCACACCTGTGAGGCAAGTGTTCTACCACTGAGCTACAGCCTCAACCCATTATGGAATTTTTTTTTTTTAAAGGGTGGACTTAGTGCAGGCAAAGACAATGCATTTTTCTTTTTTCAGATGTAGTGCAAAACACAAAATAAATTTTAATTCTTAAATTTTACTAACAAAGAAATTAATGATAAAAATTCAATGTTAAAGACATATTCACAGATTATTAATTATTAAAATCAATTTCCATTTAAGCTATGAAAACTGTCAACTATGAGGTTTTATTCCAGTGTAGTCTTAGTAATGTTTTCTGAATTATTTGATGCAGGCAAACTCTGGGTAAATTATGCATCAGTCAACTGCTTGGTAGTAGAATGACAGGATTTTCCACACTTAACTGCTATTGTACAACATATCCATAAAAATCCATAAATTCAGAGACATTTCAATAAATGAGAACATTTGTTTTTGCTGTAGATTTAATTTTTGTTTCCTTTTATAATACTTTTAAATTAATATTTCAATAAACATTAGGTTTAGTTTTTGGACGAGAGATTCTACTTTTATAGAAAATGGAAAGGAAAATAAAACTAATATCAGTGACTTTGTTTTTCATCTGTTTCTCATGTTCCTAGTGTAAAAGTTAGCTTGCTTCATTCTCAGCAATTTGAAATGCAGGCAAAGGTCAGATGATATCACACAAGTGATAGAGGAAACCCAGTTTTGATCTCCCTGAAACTGAATAACTCACAGAAATGATCATGGAGAACTCATTCTTAGTTGGTGTTTGGCATGGTATAAATGCAAAGGAACCCAATCAAGGAGGAGCAGATACTGCAGAGATTTCTGGAAGAAGCCAGTTTGTTCTTGGGTGCTAACTCTAGCACAACCTCACAAAAGTAGACAATCAGTAAAACGGCAAATATAGCTATAAACAGCATAAATTGTCATTTTCAAGATAATACTGTTAATTCTTTGTTAAAAAGTATATTGTATTACTATAGTATAGCTAAACAATGTAACTAAAGTAGGTGTTCTTCAATAGATGAACTGATAAAGAAAATGTGGTTATATATATTCAACAGAATATTACTCAGCTTTAAATAAGTATGGCATTTGCCAGTAAATAGATGGAGTTGGAGAATATCATGCTAAGCGAAATAAGCCAATCCAGAAAAAAACAAAGGCCAATGTTTTCTCTAATATGTGGATGCTGATTCACAACAAGATGGGTGGGTACAAGAGAAGAATAGCATTACCTTAGACTGAGAAGAAGGAATTGAAGGAATGGGAGAAGGAATGGGATGTGGGGATAGGAAAGACAGTAGAATGAAACAGACATTATTACTTTATGAATATATGTGACTGCATGACTAATATGATTCTACAACATGTACACTCAGAAAAATGAGAAATTATATCCCACATATGTATGATATATCAAAGTGCATAAATGCATTCTACTGTCATGTATAACTAAATTTAAATGTATAACTAAACTAAATTTAACTTTTAAATTAAATGTATAACTAATTTTTAAAAAAAATTTAAAAAATAATTTTCTCCATTGTAAAAAAAGTGTATTGTAAAATTGCTAATACTAAGTAGAATCTAAATTCTCCTGAAAATCAGTTTTCAATAAAACCTTCTAATCAAAATAGGAATAGGAAAGACAGTAGAATGAATCTTACATAATTTTTCAATGAACACTTAGAAAATATCGTGAACCCCATCATGCCCACCCACAAGAATGGAATCCTAATTAGAATAAGATACATCCTACACTTGCATAATTTTTTTCAAAATGGATTTTACAGTCATGTATAACTAAGAATCAATAAAATAAAATCTTTTTAAAAATGCACCAAAATGTCAATAGTGTTATTTCTAGGTCATGGAAACATTTTTAACATTCTTTTCCATAATGTTCATATTTTCTACAACTAACAAAGATTACTTTTATATTCAGATAAAATTAAACACATGCTAAAAAAAAAATCTTAAGTAGTCAAGTTTCTTTTCTTCCACCAGGAGTTTTAGGCAGATTAAATTTCAAAGGCCATGGATAAAGACTTTTGAATTCATATTAAATTAAACATGTCTCATAGATATATTTTACATGTTGCTGATATGTGTAAGGGGTAGAGAGAGAAATAAGTGCTGGGAAGCTAGAATGGCATCCACATCATTTAACACCTATGATGATATGATTTAAAATCAAATTAAAAGCAGCATGACATCATCTGCAGAAGCATAAATAGAAAAGCAGCCTGCCTTCCAGAATTGTACCAAAAGTCATGGCTAAGAAAAAGCAAAGCAGAGAAACAAATTAAGCTCTTTATAAATTAAAGAAATCCACTTTGAGCTTGTCTGCAGGGACACTGCCTTCTATGGAAAGAGCTAGATGTTTGCACAGTGCCCCCTGGTGAAGAGAGGGTTTCATAACTACACATTCACCCCAGGGAAGAGGCAAGACCTTCAACTAGCCACCCAGGGCACATGCTTTGCTTTGGTCATCTGAGACAGACATCTGAGCCTCTACAGGATGCAGATGCAACACATAGACTTGATGGCCGACATCTCCACTACTTAACGTTTTTACAGATAATACACAATTGTATTTCTCAACAATATTACTTTAAAGAGAACTCCACAAAATAGGAAATCACCATTTGTTTTTCCCCACTACTTGTGAAACTTTTGCTCTAAATGAACAGTTTTTGACATTTGACAAAAGAAAATTGAATATTAAAATTGAGGACCATAATGAAAAAATATTGTATATTCATCTTAAAAATAGGGAACCTTTTATACAAAATGTTAATATGCATAAAATACCATTTGGAAATGGATTGGTCACCTGCAATTTCACATGATAATCACCAAGAAATTACCATTTGAGTAATATGAGAATTAGGATCATTTTTTAAAAAATAAATTTGTTCTAAATAGTTATAAATGGCCATAGAATGCATTTTGACACACCATACATAAACAGAGTATAACTTCTCATTCTTCTGGTTATTCATGGTGTAGAAGTACCTAGGTCATGAAGTCATATAGGCACATATATCCAGTACATTCTACTATCTTTGTTTTTATGTGTTTCAATTAGCTTCCTAATTAGAAAAAAAATGTTAATTTATATACAAATCTTAATTCTATTGATTTGAAATTATAGGGATAACTGCTTGGCATAAAGAAACAAATTCTGGATGCTTCCTGCAAAGGGAAAATTACTCTGGAATGTGATTCAATGTGCACAAGAGGAGTTCTGCTTTATCTGATAGGCTGGCTCGAAACAGAGGAGAAAATAGTTTATTCTCACATTTAGTTGAGCAACTGAGAAGTGAGTAGCCCTCCCATTGCCTGCTGTTAACTGCACAGCCTAGGTAATGAGGGTATCCTTCATCTCTATTCACTTTCCCACTCAAGCCTGAATACAACAATTTCTGAACCAGGCAAGCAAAAAGTATGGTTTAGTACAAACTATTATTAAAAAGCAACAACAATTGCCATTCTGATGTGAGTGAGATGGAATCTTGGTGCAGTTTTAGTTTGCATTTCTCTAATTGCTAGCAAAGTTGAACACTTTTTCATGTATTTGTTGACTGATCATATTTCTTTTTTTGTGAAGTGCCTAGTTAGTTTTGCCCATTTATTGATTTTTTTATGTTTAGATTTTTGAGTTCTTTATATATCCTGGATATTAATGCTATATCTGAGGTGCAGGTGGCAAAGATTTTCTCCCATTCTATAGATTTCATCTCACTCTAGTCAGGATGGCAATTATCAAGAATATAAGTAACAATAAATGTTTCCAAGGATGTAGGGAAAAAGATTCACTCATACATTGTGGTGGGAATTCAAATTGGTGCAACCCTCTGAAAAGCAATATGGAGATTCCTCAGAAAACCTGAATGAAATCACCATTTGACCCAGTTATCCCGTTCCTCAGTATATACCCAAAAGACTTAAAATCAGCATACTATAGTAATGGCAGCCACATTGACGTTTACAGCAGTTCAATTCACGATAGCTAATGCTATAGAAACAAGGTAGGTGCCCTTCAACAGATGAATGGATAAAGAAAATGTGGTATATTTATACAATAGAATATTAAGTAGCCATTAAGAAGAATGAAATTATTGCAGTTGACAGCAAATGGATGGAACTGGAGACCATCATGCTAAGTGAAATAAGCCAATCCCAAAAAACCAAAGGCTGAACGTGCTCTCTGATATGCAGATGGTAACACAATAAGAGGGAAGGAATAGAAGTTCATTGGATTGGACAAAGAGGAATAAAGGGAAGGGAAGAGGATGGGAATAAGAAACATAGTAGAATGAATCCGACATAACTTTCTATGTTCATATATGAATATACCACCAGTCAAACTTCAACATCATTTAAAACCACAAAAATGGGAAGTTATGCTCTATGTATGTATAATATGGCAAAATAAATTTTACTGTCATATATAACTAAAAATAACAAATAAAGAATTTTTTAAAAAAATTAAAAAAATTTAAAAATCAATAATAATACCAAAGCATAGCTGGGAGAGCCCTTCCAATTTAATGCCCACTAATTTGTTCAAAACCACCCCAAATGTTATGTATTAGAAGCTAAACTAATATGCTTCTTGTGCAAATACAGGTTCAAATCAAGCCCCAAGCAGGGCAAGGTGGCTCACACCTATAATCCCAGCAGCTCTGGAGGCTGATGAGGAAGGAGGATCATGATTTGAAAGCCAGTCTCAGCAAAAGCTAGGCACTAAGTAACTTACTGAGACCCTGTCTCTAAATAAAATAAAATAGGGCTGGGGATATGACTCAGTGGCAAGTGCCTCTGAGTTCAATCCCCAGTACCAGCTCCTCCTCCTCCTCCTCAAAAAAGTCCAAAAGTCCCCAGGATCCTTCTCCTTCTAATCAGTTTGTCATCATGTTCAAATCTACTATTCTCTTGAAATTGTATTATGGCTTCTGCTGAAAGATTACACTGTTCATTGATAAACATCTTTGTGTTCATGTAGAAAAACCAACATAAGGCAGTTAAGGAAAGTTGTGTCTGTGTAGGAAGGTACCCATATTTAGAGCTTGGGAAATAGAATTTCACATAAGCAGCTGGGCATGGAGGTAAATGCCTGTAAGCCCAGCAACTCAGAAGGCTGAGGCAGGAGGATCACAAGTTCAAAGCCAGCCTTAGCAATTTATTGAGGCCCTAAGCAACTTGGCAAAGCCCTGCCTCAAAACAAAACAAAATGGACTGGGGATGTGAACCAGTGGTTAAGCATCCCTAGGTTCAATCCTTGCTACAAAAAAAAAAAAAAAAATCATGTAGGCTTGTAAAAGATTAATGTCATCCAATTATATATCTGTCTCAAACATTTTCCCTGGTTTGTGGAAGAGTAATCCATCTCTTTCTTGGACATGAAAATTTGAATCTTTAAAAGTAGGTTGATTAAAATCAGCATACTACTATGATGCAGCCATATCAATGTTTATAGCAGTTCAATTCATAGTAGTTAAACTATGAAAACAACATACCCTTCAACAGATGAATGGACAAAGAAAATGTGGAAATATACTCAATGGAATATTACTCAGCCATAAAGAAAAATGAAATTATGGCATTTTCTGGTAAATGGATGAAACTGGAAATTATCATGCTAAGTGAAATAAGCCAATCCCGCAAAACCAAAGGCTGAATGTTTTCTCTGATATGTGGATGCTAATTCACAATAAGGGAATTGGTTGGGAAAAAAATAAATACTTTGATTTAGACAAAAGTAAATGAAGGGAAGAGAGAGAGAATGGAAATAAAAAAGATAGTAGAATGAATTGGATATTACAATTCTATGTGCATATATGATTACATGACCAATGTAATTCTACATCATGTACAACGAGAAGAATGATAAATTATACTCCAGATATGTAAAATATGTCAAAATACAGTCTTTTGTTGTATATAACTAATTAGAACAAATTAGCAAAATAAAAATACCGCCCCCCCACCAAAGAAGTCTTATGTTGATTTCCACCCAGACAGATCTTATGAAGTGTTGCCATAAGTTGTTTGTTTGGGGAGGAGGAAGGGAGGCGACTGTAGGAGATACAAGTTATGCAGTGGGAAAGTGAGACAGTAAAGGAAGAAAAGTCAGTAGAGTTTGCCACAGATACAACTGTGTGGAAACAGACTCAGTCTCCCTGGAGATGCTTGATAGGACCATATCCACATGCCTCGGGGCTTGTCCACCAACACTCTTGTCCACACACTCTCCAGTGTGTGAAAGTCACCAAAAGGGTGAGATATCCCACCAACCTGAACAAGCTCTGTCTACCAAAAAAAGCTGTCAGCTGCCTGAGATGGGAAGGTGGCCAAGCACAGAGGAACTGTCCACTATTGTAGCTGCAGAGGAACTCTGGGGTGTGTCTAGGGGAAATGAGATGATACTTTGGACACAAATAGGTCTCTAAAACTTCAGATG